TTCACCAAGCGAAATTAAGTCGCGCTTCGCACTACAGAGCAACTCGCGTGCTATACACGTACACTGTCCGCGTGTGAATCATTCTTCGCGTCTGCCGCGAGAAAACGTCGCAACTTGGACTCGCAGCCGAGTAACGTCTTTGAGAAACGAAACGCGAAATCACACGAAATACCTTTGACAAAAACGCATAATCCGGATTAATCACATTAGCCAAACTTCCAAACGCTGCGATTGATTAGTCGCATTCTACCTGTCTTTCTCTCTCTCTCTCTCTCTCTCTTCCCTCCCTAAAATTTCACAAAAAGAAGACTAGAATTTCACGTCGAAATAATCGAGCGCGGTAACCGCTGTTGTTTTTCATATCTCAATCGTGTATTAAAAATCGTTACTTGAAACTTGCCTCAAGTGAGATATACAGATGAAATTTAGAGTTAGATTATAGATTTTTAGTTGAATCACAATTACGAATGTAATATCATGTATATTGTTTATGATTCAAGTGGAAAGCTCAGATCTAACTCTAAATTTAGAGCATCTTACGTGATCAGAGATATGAGTCTTTCATTTGTAATCATGATTGCAGGTATAGATTTGAATTGATTCGAATTGATAGTCCTTACTCGAAATTTGCCTTAGGTGAGACATTCAGATTTAAACTTTGAGTCAGATGTGAGTTTTCCAGCTGAATCGCAATTACAAATGTAATGCCGCATATATTGTATGTATGTATATTGCATATTCCAACTCTAAATCCAGATCTGAGTATCTCGCGTGGAACAAGTTTCAAGTAACGACTATTAATTATGGGCCCTTAAAGTTGTGTCGTCTTCGCGCAAACGTGACATGCTGTGCGCAACGAACAAAGACCAAGTAAAAATCACCGCTCGATCTCATTTAGCGCCAGCATAATTGCGCTGCATGGTCCTAGGCTATCGTGCGCTTTGAGTTCGCCCTCTTGTCGAAAGACACTTCGACTTATCGTCTCGAACGGATCCTTCACGACATAGCTTTCTCGAGCTCTCGATTCCGCGCGCGCGCTTTTTTCCTTAGCCTCCGGACTGTTCATGAAATCGCCATCAAGGAATTCGCGGCTGCGCTATAAAAAAAAACTAAGCTTTTCTCTTCCGCGTTCGCCGCAAGATTCGCAGGCTGATATGAGTATGACACGGATCACCGCGCGCAATCGCCATATCGCTGTGCGTGTGTTGTATTTGTGCATGTATGTGTGTGTGTAAGTATGTGAGTTTCTTTAACGCGTATCCGAAGAAAGACCATACGGAACAACGTTCTGATTCATTAAACTTCAGATAGCATTAATGTCTAAGACTCATATTGGTAGTTATTACTTAAAACTCGTCTCAAGTGAGATATTCAGACTTGAATTCAGAACTAAATGAGTTTTTCTTAGTTAAATCACAATTATAGATATAAATGTCACATATACTATAATTCAACTGAGAAACTTAAATCTGATTCTGAATAAAAATCTGAATATCTCACGTGAGTGAGAAATTTTAAGTAATGATTGTTATTAATAAGAGTCTAAGCCCTTTACTAATAACAGTTATTACTTAAAACTTGTCTCAATTGACATACTCAGATTCGAACTTAGAATCTAATGTAAATTTTTCAGTGAAATCGTGATTGTAAATATAATGCCGCGTATATCATATAATTGATGAAAAACCCAGATCTAACTCAAAATTCAGATCTGAGTATATCATGTTAGATAAGTTCCAGCAACGACTATCAATACAGATCTAAAAGACGTGTTAGAGACATCTAAAAGATATTTTACTTATTTCAAGTGACTTTTAGACGTTTCTAAAACTTATTTTAGACATCTGTGCTACCTGGGGCCGACAGCGTATCGTTCCATAAAGATAAAAAATGAAAAGAAACCGACTGAAATAAAATAAATATTCGAACCCACTTTGTTATTCGAAATAACGCGAATATCTAAATATAAGTTAAGGATCTCCAAAGAGAGACGTCCCAATTTCGGTCGAACGCTTCTCGGACGAGTCTTTCACGACTTTTGCGTATCTCGTCGTCAACAAATCGAGAAAGCAGCACAAGCTAGGCCACCCTGGCGAGATCGTGCGGACGATCCTCGCATCGTCGTCGAAAATCCGTCGTGACGTTCGATGCTGCAGAATCGTAACGAAGTGCGTTCCAAAGGGAGTGAGTTCTTGCACGCGTCGTGAGGTAAAACGGAGCGGAGCGAAGATGCCGCGAAAGGTAAAGAAACCGTCGCGAGGTTGACTGGTCGATTCGAACACGGCACGCATGTCAGCAGCACACGGAGAGAATTTGATAGTGAAAATCGTTACAGACTTTTATAGACGAGGAACGCATCGAAATTCTGCCTTAATCTATTATATTTCCGTCTCATGTATGATAGTATCGAAACAACCTACTATTAAAAATTAGAATAGATTAGAATAAGATTAATATTCGTCCCTTAGAAGGGTATTCTACTGACAGTTTATCCCTACATCAGGCCCTACAGGGCTTGGAAAAACTGAAAAAAATTTTATGTAAAGAAAAAAAGGTAAAAAATTCAATACTCTCTCCGTTTACGCGACGAGGCGCCGCTATGTCTCTCGCGAGCGTGTCGCAATATTAAATTATCGCACGCATTGTTACGCCACACGTCGCTACAATATAGCATTACACACGTGGACTCGCAGGACATATCCGCCTCTCATCTTATCGCAACGCGATCGTCTCATCTCGCTTAATTAGCGCGCACAATCGTCGTCAATCAGACATTCCTCTCGTCGACGTCGGATTTCTCTCGATACTTCCGGCTCGCCGATACCGATCTTCGCGACAGACACCCGCGGTCTTCCTCGTTTATGTATCGATCTTTTACATCGCGATTTCGCGGGACCAGCCAGTCAATTAGGCAGACAGACAGACAGGTCAAGCGTCATGAGCGTCACTCGCTCTAGTCTTTTTCTGCCGATTTTACCAGCCACTAAGGCTATACTGGCTTCTCGCGGTCCCCTAACGCGATCCTCTCCCCCGTCCCCCACGACTCGTGTGCCCGTATATCTCGCAGTCTTGCGCCGATTATTATCGACACACGCCGCTCAGTGCGTGTCCGCTAACGCGTGTTCGCCTAAGTTTCTTTTCTCACCTCTTACTTGGGATTATGTGCCCCACAGATGTGTACACAGAAACATCACTTACATCGTTTTAATGCTGAATCATTTATAAGCTAATAACGCAGTAAATCGGTAGACTCTTACAAATATATTCTCGCGTACATCCCCCTGCCCCCGTTTCCCGGCGCTCGCAAAACAATACGTATTATCCTCGAAGGCGTTCCGCCTCGTTATCTATCAACATTTGTCATTACGCAATTATTAAATTTACGCGCACGTGTTGCGTGTAATCTCTATCTCTTTTCCTTCCTCTCCCTGTGTAGTGTATATGTGTATGTGTGTACCAACCGTATTCCCCTTATCTACTCTTCCCCTAGTCTCACCCTACCAAGCCCTGAAGAATCTAATCATCGCGCGCCACGCGATACGCGAAACGTTCCACCGTGCGTGTCGCCGACTTGCTTTCTCGATGGATGACTAGAGCCGACTTAGATCGTTACTACTGCTCTCGTTAAGATGGTTTTACACGGAGAGAATTTTACAGTAGCGTTTTTGTAACAGAAGAATATCGACATGTTATCTTAAATTGTTATTCCTCCATTTTATGTGTGCTTTAGATTGGAATCTTTATTCATAATTTATTACTATTACCATTATTACCAAAAAATTTCTGTTGAAGAACTAAAGAAATTGTATTAAAGAAATCAAAGTGTCTGTATTAACAGAATTTCTTTAGTAAAATCCACCATGTTTCTCAGCTATTAATAATAAACTTCATTGATATTCTATTCTGCACTGGAAAACATGGCAAAATTTAAAAGAATTTATATAAGTAATAATAATAACAATAATAATTATATATATATATATATATATATATATATATATATATATATATATATATATAT